GGTGAATACCCACTTCATCAGATGCATGTACAGACCCACGAAAGCTTATGCTCCAATACATTTGTTAGTCTATAAGGTGCCACAGGACTCCTTGTTGCTTTTTACAGATCCAGACTAACATGGCTACCCCGCTGATACAAGATATTATAAGGATAACAGAAATATGGTGGAATAGTAGTCATGACTGGAGTACAGGTATTGAAGGATGTGTGCTGTGTAGGAAAGACAGAAATAAAGGCAAAGGTGGTGGCGTAGCATTGTATATTAATGATGAGGTAGACTAAAGAATTTAGAAGTGATTGAATGAATAAGACAGAGCCTGTTTGGGCCAAAATCACTTTGGGAAAGAAAGCTACTAGAGGTTCCCCTGGGATAGTGTTTGGCATATTCTGCAGACCCCCAGGATCTGATTTGGATATGGATAGAGACTTCATTAATGTTTTTAATGAAATAAATACTACTGGGAATTGTGTGATTATGGGAGACTAACTTCCCGGCTATAGCTTCGAGGACAAGTGCTACTAATAATAGTAGGGCCTAGATTTTCCTGGATGTGATAGCTGACAGATTTCTTCATCAAATAGTCAGTGACCCAACAAGGGCGATACTCTTTTAGATTTGGTATTGGTGAGTAGTGAGGACTGCATGGAAGAAATGGTTGTAGGGGACAACTTTGGTTCAAGTGATCATGAGCTAATTCACTTTGAACTAAATGGAAAGCTAAATAGATCTAAAAATAGATCTGCAAGTAGGGTCCTTGATTTCAAAAGGGCTAACTTTAAAAAAAAAAAATAGAAGGGAATTAGTTAGGGAAGTGGACTGGACTGAAGAACTCAAGGATCTGAATGTGGAGGAGTCTTGGAATTACTTCATCAAAGTTGCAGGAACTATCTGAAGCCTGCATCCCAAGCAAGGGGGAAAAATTAATAGGGAATTGTTGCAGACCCAGCTGGATGAGCAAACATCTCAAACAGGTGATTGAGAGAGAGCCTACAAGGAATGGAAGATTGGATGAGCAAGGAAAGCTACCTCTTGGAGGTCAGAAAGTGTAGGGATAAAGTGAGGACAGCCAAAAGCCAAGCAGAGTAGGACCTTGCAAGCTTTCCATCAACATAAGTTGGTCCAATAAAAGATATTGTCTCATCCACTTTGTCTCTCATATCCTGGGACCAACATGATTACAATACTGCTAACAAATACGTTAACTGACATTTCCCATTTAACTATATGCCTTTAAAAATTAGAGATTCATAGATTCCAAGGCCAGAAGGGACCATTGTGATCATCTAGTCTGACCTCCTGCATTACACAGGCCAGAGAACTTCACCAAAGTAATTCCTAGAGCAACACATCTTTTAGAAAAAACATCTAATCTTGATTTAAAAATTGTCAATGACAAAGAATACACCACAACCCTTGATAAATTGTTCCAGTGCTTGCTTACTCTATTAAAAATGTATGCCTTATATTGAAATCAAGATGATAAAAATAGTATATATCAAAGTACAATTTGTGGGGCAGAGTTCAAGTTGTGATGTGACGAAACATGCATTTTTTTGTAATTCTGACGAAAAATGTGTGTGTTTTATTATGTGGTCAGTGTAACTCTTATGATGTAAAAAGCGACAAAGAGTCCTGTGGCACCTTATAGACTAACAGAAGTATTGGAGCATAAGCTTTCATCGGTGAATACGTCTGATGAAGTGGGTATTCACCCACGAAAGCTTATGCTCCAATACTTCTGTTAGTCTATAAGGTGCCACAGGACTCTTTGTCG